AAAAGCCTTCGGCTTTGATAAGAGATCCGAAGGAAGACCTCTACACGCTCGACTGGCGTCGGCGGATTTTCACATATGCCCAGAGCAGCCATGCAAAGCCTAGTAGCATGGGACTTCTTGCTGAGCTCGCTTTGAGTCATTGCATGGTAGGTGCCGACTTGAAGAGACGGGTGGAGGCAGTTCCAGCAACACATCAATCTTGCAGGGTGTGACATGTAAGACATTATGCACGCGTTGATCCGACCACGCTTGGTTCTGATTTGCGCCGGAGCCGGCTGTCTTTTTCTTTCTTGTTTCTTCGGGGATGGTCAGGAGGGCTCAGCCAGTCCTACCGCGAACTCAGGCGAACCATAGATGCATTGGATCAGCCTGACTCAGGCGTGAGTCCTGAAGCCTTGGCATTGCAGGGAGACGTCCAGGGCCCCAGCACTCGATTCGAATGCAGCAAACAGCTGGCTGGCGTTGGGGGTTCCGTGAAAGGGGTAGCAAACGTGGGCTGCACACACGTGGACAGCCATGAGTTTACTAGTTTTGGTTGAGACGGAGTAGCGTTTCATTTTTAGAAGCGTGCCAGGACCTTCGCGCTGCGCATCAAATGCTATCTTTGCTCGCGTGGGCTTTTGCTCCATGCCACGCTTACCACACTGCCAAAGGAATCTCCGTCAATGCTAGACGCTTGGAAATTTGGCGTTGAAGCTGAACAAAGGAGTAAATTGATCATTGGCATTGTTTTTTTGGCAGCTGAGGATGTTTGCCGATGCAACGTTTTCTTCACCTGTAACGCAACCTCCATGAACAGTAGAAGTTTTCTTCGCCTCAACCAGATCATTTTCAGACAGACAGGGTCAATCGACCACCTGTCAGCTACTATACAGCAGCTCGTGTTGCCAGTAATTCCTGGCTCTTGATATTAGATGCAACCCCCTAATTTGAAGAACACGTTTCCCCGAAACAACGTGTGTATTATTAGGGGCCCCTTTTTCGGGCATGCAGGCTGGCAGCTGTATGTTTGACCATGCAGGCAGGTGGCTTCTGAAAGGAAAGATTGGGGGGACCTGCAATAGGGCTCGAGCTGGGGTCACGAAGGAAAATCGCTGGTTTAGCATTGGTTTAGAATTGGCCTATTCCAAATCTAGTATTCCTTGACCTGGATTCTGTTGGCGGTCTGGAAAGCATTTGTGATTGTGTGGGGTTCCTTTGTTATTAGGTATAACGAGGACGGAACTTTTGGCAAACCGCTCTGTTTGTGTGCGTGTACGTGTTTGGCTTAGCCGGGCAATGCAGACGTCGCGGCCTACCACATTGGGAAATCCTTGGACAGATTTGGATTTGAGCCACGGAAGGTTCAGTTGAGCCGCCAAACCGAAAAGCAGTATCAGCATACTTATGCCCAAGCGCCTCAGGGGCAACTCCGGAGAGATACTAGTGCCCACACTGACGACGTGTGGCTAAGTACCCATTACATTCGTCAACGGTTCCTTGTCGCGAAAGAACGGAGCGATAGAAGCATGGGTAGTCAAACTTAAACCACCAGAAATCGGACCGGTTCAATCCATGTTTCCATTTACCGATCGGGCAACCCATGGGGTCACCCGATTTAGCCACAGCCACTAGCCTGGGATGCTCTCCGCTTCTCAAGGCCTTTAGCTTCGTGGAGAACTGCACGCCGGAGGCCCCGTTCGGAGAGGTCGGCGGATCGCACGACACGAGTCACAATCAAAACCCGGGTAAGTGAAGGGACAATCCCAGCCAGAAATAGCTGCGGATATCCGCCTTCATAATTCCTTACATGGTTCTGGGTCGACCATTTTTAGACCGGGTTTTGATTATGACTCACGCTCGTGCGTTGGTTTTGCAGGCTGGCGGTGAGGCAGCTTGGTCTTGAGCTGAACCATTTCGGGGTTTCGCCTTCGAACATGTTAGTGTCAACCTTGTGACTTAGGCAACAACGCCAGACAAGAGCAGGCAAAAACAAAACAGGCGCGCATGTAGGGATGCTGCAAATAACCAGAGAGTTGCCACAAGAAACGTTTCCCAGGAGTGCTCACGGGTCCTCCACCATGGCTCGCTGCACTCAGAAATTTGAGTTGCTGGCATATTGGCGCAGGTGTTTGTGTTTGTGGGTGTGTGGTGGGTGTGGGTGGGCGTGGGCTGGGTGTGTAGGTGGGCGGGTGGGTGGGTGTGTGGGTGGGTGGTTGGTGGGGCTGGGTGTGCGGGTGGTTGGTGGGGGCAATCGATATGTCCACATGTGTGTCACTGCATTTACACATTATGATGCTCACTATCACAACTAATGGCAGGATATGCTGAACGCTCAACCAGTAGTAATGAGAAACAAGTACCTCTCACAAAGCCCCGTGCCGATGCTAGGACTCTGGCGACGAAGATGCTGTGGAGACGGCAGGCTTCGCCGACAGTGCTTTTGCGTATTAAGAATGTTTTGCCTTGCACATTGATGATTCCCCACTAAACCCAGGGACACCCCCTATTGATAAGCCAGGGTTGATTAATATGGGATCAACAATCGTCCATTCACAATGTTTAACTGCAGTGCTCAGAATATATTTGGCTAGCACCAGGTTTATTGCTGACTTCATTGCCATGCTTGTGCAGATAGCCGCTAAAGCAGCTGAGCATCACAGAGCCAGCAGCACGATCTGGCAAGAGGGCTTGACGCATTTCATACCAAGCTGACAAGTGTTGTCAGAGGACTTTCCCTCGTTCCCTCCAATGGAGAGACTGGAGATTGCAACCAAAAGAGCCTTCATGTTGGAACAACTTTTGATGCGGGCGTTTCTGTTTGTTACTTCAGCTTGTTGCTTTGTACCTCATATCTAGCTGCAACTAGGGCATCCAGCTCATTGTGTGTCACGTGGTTTGGCTCAGTAGGCGAAGAAACGACATTTGCCAACCCTTCAAGGCGAAGACGGCGAGGATGGCGAGGATGGCGATGATGAAGCAGAGGCCATTGCCCCAATTACATGACCAGATTGACCAAGCGTGGACTTCTTAGCAGCGCCGTGACCGGGCTCTTGCAGGATGCAAGCCGCGAAAACAGTTTCAGGACTCATGTTTGCGTTGATTGTTCATACGGCTTGGAATTGGCCGGTGCCCAGATGTACCAACCCTTTCGATTTGCTGCACATCCATGCAGAGATTATGTTTTCAAGACAAAACATGTTGCATTTTTCAGCCAGTCCCGTCCCTGAGTTAGCCCAGTTTCGCACTCAGCCAATTGCATTGTTCACTCTGGTCATCAAGTTTTACTATAAGCAAACTGACAGACATGCATGCCAGTAAGGCTTGGCAAGAGATGCGCTCAAACAAGCAACTCTTTATTGGATGAAGTTGATTGGGACGCATGCGTTGAGGGATTATGGGAGAGATGGCCCAGGATCTTCGAGACGTCCCAAAATCTTCAAAACAGGGCCGTAGAAAGAATACACCCTTCTCAGCACGCTGGGCAGGACTGGAGGGAGACAGAAGCAACCGAAGCAACCGAAGCGGAAGACCTAGACGAGGACATGGATGTCCCTGACGGAGAATTTGACGAGGAGAATGAAGATGGAGGCCCGGGGCTTCGTTGCTTTTCTTTGGAGCCATTAGAAATGCATCTTCAGGGTCATGCCTTCGCGACCTATCCAATATTGGCCTCAAAGGTTGTGAGAGATGATCTGTCCATTGCTGTTAAACATGGGCAGACAAGCGGTGTCAAGCTGATCACCGAATCGAACACTTATTGATATTTCTTAAGCAGGGTTTGCCATTTAGAAATGTGAGGTCTTTCACATGCCTGCAGGTTTCCTTTCGTTTGTGTCTGTGTGTGCCAGAGAGCCAGCTTCAAATAGCTATGTGTACACCACCGACCACTCATTGGTTTCTGTTCCGGGCCAATACGACACGGGTGGGGCTCAAAAATAGAGGCGCAAAATGGAACTCTGGCAAGTAGACAGATACCGGTCCCCTGGCTCATTAAACTATGAGAACCCAGACACGTGTGACACGTGTGATTGCCTTGCACCAACACGTTCACTATCGTTCACTGCACTTGCGCCGATCGCATCATTTGGGTCCACGTCCAAAGCCTAGGCCCAATTGGGCTGGCCCACGACTCAGACGGCGATCAGCCGGGGGCCACTCTGCAAGACGCCCGGACGGACATACGCGTACGCTTCTATCAGGCTGGTTTTAAACGAAAGCAAAAGGCAAACCACTTATTTATTATGCGTTTGTTCATTTTATTTATTTATTTATTTTTTATTTGTGTATTTATTTGTGTATTTATTGTATGTTTGGGGGGGAGGGTTCCCTTGGTTTGATACATTGGGTCCGAGTCTTGCTGGTTCCCCACAACATGAACGACCAAGAAGGGCCTCTCTGTTCTCCCCCAGGCCATTGGGGTCAGTACATTAGACTCCCAGAGAGATGTGTGCTCCTATGCGCTCGCCGTGGCAAGAGTATGCTGCAAAGCTAAGGATGAAGGCCAGTGCGACGAAGAGGAGGCACCGCGACCAGTGTCCAGAGAGACGCCAGTGGTGGACGAGCTCGTGATTGTGAATGCTACAATGCCTGTGATTATCGACCGGCCAAAGAAGAAAAAGAAGAAGAAGAAGCGAAAAAAGAAGACCAAAAGGAGCCATGGAGAACCCGAGCACTGCCCCACTGGTCACAGGCTTGAATTATATAGGCCCAAGTTTTCCGTTCTATGGGATATATATATATATATACCATGCAGCAAGACCTGCTAGCTCGTTTCATAACCCCCTCGTTACCATGGTTGATGTGAACACGAGTCGACGATTTGGATTTACTCGTGACTGAGGCCTTGGACTCACACCCTGGCATGACATGAGCTTGATCCATTCTTGCATGGAGGAGGTCCACATCTTGAGGGTCTTTGCAAACGCATTTCCCCTTGTTGGTATTCTCACTCCCTGAGTTCATGTTGACTTTTGCCCAAACACTTGTTGGGACCATTTTCAGTGGCTTGCCCGCTTGTTTGGACTTGTTTTGCCCAACCGGGATCAGAAGTGAGCAATGGATAAGCTCCCAGGAGCCAAAGTCTAAAGTTCGTGGAGGAGGTGGACAAGAAGCCGCCGGTGCCGCGCTTCCCCCATCCCAAGGATGCCAAGGATCCCAAGGAGCCGTTGGCGCCGACACCAGCAGCACCTCCCTTGGCTACGCCGGAGCAGATGCTCGGTTGAATCAAAGCGATCCCGGTGCCCCTTCGAATGATCTCTAGCGCATGAAGTCAACAGGAGGGGCTGGGTATGCGTGCACAGGGTGCTGCATTGAATTGCATTCAATCCCGTGAACCTGTATCTGTACGTGCCCAGCCACCTCAGATGTCTGTTGTCGTGAATGCAATGTTGGACACGGAAACCTTCCTTGCCCTGCCCTGATTACTGGAACACAGACAGCAAAGGGAAGTCTTGCGACATGCTGGTGACATAAGTGGTCGCACAGCGAAGAACTTGCGCGGCTCAGAAGTGCCAAGGAAAGTACCCTTGCGCGAGCGATTCGCAAAGCACCTGCTGCTGGGGAGATTTCCGCCGCTTGACTACGATTGCAAGGGACTGATGTTGAATCTGATTAATTCATAGAGCATGTCCGCACGCCGTGTCCCTTAATATCGTTTTGCCCTGGTGACAATTGCTTGGTTTTGATACATCATCAACAGCCTCATGGTGTGTTTTCCAAACGCCGCATGCTGATTTTTTGCTGCTACCTATTTGGAAGGCGTAATGCCTCTTTCTGGCATGCGATGCACATAGGAAAGCATGGACACTTGATGTCGATTTCAGCGCATCAAGTGTTGCGTCGCATTGTGGTGTGGGGTTGAGAGTGGTGCTGCACATGTTTAGGGGGTGGGTTTGGAGGTACGGAGAGTGGAGCCGCTGTGCCATGTATGCAAGGGGTATGTGCCACGCTACCACAGCAAGCGAGCCAAAGGCCCTGCCGCAGCATTCTGCCAGCAGCCCTTTTCAGCCAAGGAAGCGCCGGCCTTCGGTGAACACAGACACCGAGACTGAGGCTGAACCTTGGACAGAATTCCTATTGTGGGGCCTTGTGGCGGTGATGTGTAAGTACAATGTTGTGGCATCCTTTTCGCAGTTGGAAAGGCCTAGATGGGCAAAACAGAGAAGAAGGATTCTATGCTTGCAAATGGGGAGCTGTTCAGCACTCCATTCCCTTGCAACTTAGGCATACTTCTTGATTTGCTCTGTTGGAATTGTTTGCAAATATCTAAACAGTGATGTGCCATTCCCTTGCAACTCAGACATACTTCTTGATTTGCTCTGTTGGAATTGTTTGCAAATATCTAAACAGTGATGCGCCATTCCCTTGCAGCTTACTTAGGCATACTGCTTGATTTGACCTGTGGGAAAAGTTTCCAGGTATCTAAACGGTGATGTCCCATTCCCTTGCAACTGAGGCATACTTCGTGTTTTGCCCTGTGGGAATAGTTTGCAGCTCGCCAAACAGTGATGTCGCATTCGTTCTATCTGGGTGAATGAGAGCATTTGGGACAAACAAACAGCATTCGAATATCGCCCGTGCAGGTTTAACTGTGTCTGTTGATGCACTTGATGCTCGGTACGCTATGAGATTCCGAAAGGAAAGTCTATGAGAGCTGCCGCCCGTTTCTTTTTGGTTGCATAGTCTTTGGGAAGCAAGGGTCCGGTGCTAAGGTCTTCTCGGCCAAACAAAGCTTCGGAATGCGACCTGTTACCAGCTCGGTACTCATCTCTTGCTGCCTTGCCATGGCTAGGCCAAGGTTCGATGTTCTTGAGGCCCCTTTTGACTTTTTGCTTCCACCCGCTAGTAAGGGCGATTGAGAAGCTTCTGAAGTGTGACAGGTGAATTCCGGGCTTGCAGAACTTTTTGGTCTTTGCTTGAAGTTGAATCGTTGCCTGGCCTCTCTCTCTATCTCTCTCTATCTCTCTCTCTTTCTCTCTCTTTCTCTCTCTCTCTCTCTCTCTCTCTCATGGGATCACTGATGCTAAGCATTCGGAATCACTTATCACCGTCAAAGGATGACCCTACAACCAAACCCGCATGAGCATGTATTGTTTGAGGTATTGCCATAAAAAATGCTGACTGTGTGACACGCCAACCCGCACATTTCCCCAGACTGTCGTTTGCATTCTTTGGGTGCATAGTTGACCTTGCATGACATCAACGTATATGTTATATTTATATGTATGTATGTTGTATATGTACGTATTACTTATAAGCTTCCCCCGTGACCTACCCCATGACTATTTGAAGCTCTGAAAAGACACAGTTCAAGCACCCGTGACTCACACGTGAAGCTTAAAGAGCCCACGATCACATATGGTATTGTCATGTTTTATCATGACCAATTTAAATGTGAGTTACCATGACCAATACTGTGCACAGTTTGCACCCACGCGTTTGTTCAGAATGCTGAGCATACGGGCAAGCTTGTGTACTCATATGTCCGAAACCGCAAGGAGAAGCCACAAGAGACAGAAACCGAGGCCAGGCTCTGTCTGAGAACGGGGGTTAGCTACTGACAGCAAAAGACGCAGAATGCCCCCACATGAAGTGTCAGGACAGGTAAACGTTGCTGGGCAACTCACATGTCCTTTGCAGCTTTGACGTTGTGATCACTGATGGAAGGTCATGAAGAGAGTGTGCCGAATACCAACGATGTGTTTGGTTTGGGGAGCAGCATCGTCATGTTGCCTAGAGGAACAAAGGCCACGGAGACTCTTTGACGTCCACGCCTGCTTGACTCCAGAGAGAGGTCAATGTCGGTACAAGTCGTTGACGCATTGACGCAGGCGCCCACGGAGACCGAGGGGGCGACGGCGACGCCCCCTCCGCAGCCTCGCCGCTTCTTCGCTCGCCGGAAGAAGCCACAGCCACAGCCAGAGCCGGAGCCGCGGAGGCCGGGAGACTAAAGTGGCTGACTGGGATGGGTGTTTCCCATAGGCCCCGAAGCCTTGCTTTACCTTGGTATTCCACTGCACTGGCCGAAAAGAAGCCCGAAAAGGAGAAGCCTCGCAGGGCTTGCCGTCTTCAGTGAGTTTCAAGCCCATTCCCGCTCCCTTCAACCCACGTTGTGCATTTGTATGGCACGTGAAACCACGTGCAACCCCATTGCTCGTCACCCATCTGATAGCAGGCAATACGGCAGAAACTTGTTCTGCTCTGATTGGACCAAGTTTCTCGAGTAATTTTCACCCTTCGCAACATGGCGCGAAAACATGTTCGAAGTGCACTGAGACTTTGCCAGCCAGAGCTGAAACCCAGGCGGAGGGAGAAAGAAGAGCCACAGAGTGATGCGGAGAAGGCCGTTGGCTGGGCGGTCGTTTGTGTTGAATGCCGGACCATCATGATGAAGACCAAGACGAAGATGATGATGATGAAGATGATGATGATGATGATGATGATGGTGATGATGATGATGATGATGATGATGATGATGATGATGATGATGATGATGCTGATGCTGATGCTGATGCTGATGCTGATGATGGTGCTGGTGCTGGTGCTGGTGCTGATGATGGTGATGGTGATGGTGATGGTGATGGTGATTGTGATGGTGATGATGATGGTGATGAGTTCCCTTGGAGATAATCTATATCCCTTCACGGTATGCACTGTATATCAAGTCCAGCATATTCCCAAGACACCAAAAGTGCAGCGCGTCATCGAACGTCAAAACACGTCACACCTTTAGATATTGTAGATATATCATTTTGTATGTATGTATTTATATATGCACATGTGTAAACACGTGTCAGTATCCCAACATATGTTGCCTTTTTGTTTTCGATTCAACGGTTTTGCAGTGTTGTTTGTTTCTTCCAAAATCGCAGGTCGTCAGTACAAGCATATTGGACTTTAACATGGCAACTTGTCCTACACACGCGATACATGAAGTAAACTTGGACAGCTCCAGCTCAAAATACGAGTCGCATCTGCTCAGTAGCGCGGTACGCGAAGTTTGTATTGAAATCTCCAGCTCAAAAGGTTACAACTTGTTCAGTAGTTGTAGAGCGCGAAGTATGGACAGCTTCAGCTTCGGAAATCACAATTTGTTAGTAGATAGCCCGCTTGAAGCGTTCAAAGATCCCTCCTGAGCAGTTCTCTGTTAGTTGCAAAATCCGCTTTCTCTCGTACACACCACGATTTGGACCCTGGACGCCTTTTCCTTAAACCCAAAGGAGCAAGGTTATACAGGCCCGCTGCTCCCAACGCGATCCTGTGAAGCCTATCGCCCAAAGCCAACCACCTCAGACGTCCGGGCTGGCGCTCGTGGTGAAGGCGATGCCGCGGCTTCGTCAGGGGCTCGGCGAGACGGGGCGCAACGGGCTTGGAGACTGAGAGCCTAAGAGAAGCAGGGTGAGCGGTCTAGATTTGTGATAGCCCCGGTTATCTTGCAGGCCTTTGGCCTGTTGGCCCTTCCCTTTTCTGTTGTGACAGCTTTTGTTTACACATGTTGAATTAGATGGTCAGCCATGTGTGTGTGTGTGTGTTTGTGTGTTTGTGTGTTTGTGTGTTTGTGTGTTTGTGTGTTTGTGTGTTTGTGTGTTTGTGTGTTTGTGTGTTTGTGTGTTTGTGTGTTTGTGTGTTTGTGTGTTTGTGTGTGTGTTTGTGTGTTTGTGTGTGTTTGTGTGTTTGTGTGTTTGTGTGTTTGTGTGTTTGTGTGTTTGTGTGTTTGTGTGTTTGTGTGTTTGTGTGTTTGTGTGTTTGTGTGTTTGTGTGTTTGTGTGTTTGTGTGTTTGTGTGTTTGTGTGTTTGTGTGTTTGTGTGTTTGTGTGTTTGTGTGTTTGTGTGTTTGTGTGTTTGTGTGTTTGTGTGTTTGTGTGTTTGTGTGTTTGTGTGTTTGTGTGTTTGTGTGTTTGTGTGTTTGTGTGTTTGTGTGTTTGTGTGTTTGTGTGTTTGTGTGTTTGTGTGTTTGTGTGTTTGTGTGTTTGTGTGTTTGTGTGTTTGTGTGTTTGTGTGTTTGTGTGTTTGTGTGTTTGTGTGTTTGTGTGTTTGTGTGTTTGTGTGTTTGTGTGTTTGTGTGTTTGTGTGTTTGTGTGTTTGTGTGTTTGTGTGTTTGTGTGTTTGTGTGTTTGTGTGTTTGTGTGTTTGTGTGTTTGTGTGTTTGTGTGTTTGTGTGTTTGTGTGTTTGTGTGTTTGTGTGTTTGTGTGTTTGTGTGTTTGTGTGTTTGTGTGTTTGTGTGTTTGTGTGTTTGTGTGTTTGTGTGTTTGTGTGTTTGTGTGTTTGTGTGTTTGTGTGTTTGTGTGTGTGTGTTGTGTGTTTGTGTGTGTGTGTTTGTGTGTTTGTGTGTTTGTGTGTTTGTGTGTTTGTGTGTTTGTGTGTTTGTGTGTTTGTGTGTTTGTGTGTTTGTGTGTTTGTGTGTTTGTGTGTTTGTGTGTTTGTGTGTTTGTGTGTTTGTGTGTTTGTGTTTGTGTGTTTGTGTGTTTGTGTGTTTGTGTGTTTGTGTGTTTGTGTGTTTGTGTGTTTGTGTGTTTGTGTGTTTGTGTGTTTGTGTGTTTGTGTGTTTGTGTGTTTGTGTGTTTGTGTGTTTGTGTGTTGTGTGTTTGTGTGTTTGTGTGTTTGTGTGTTTGTGTGTTTGGTGTGTTTGTGTGTTTGTGTGTTTGTGTGTTTGTGTGTTTGTGTGTTTGTGTGTTTGTGTGTTTGTGTGTTTGTGTGTTTGTGTGTGTGTGTGTGTTTGTGTGTTTGTGTGTTTGTGTGTGCGTGTGCGGGTGCGTGCGTGAGCGTGTGCGTCGCGTGCGCGTAGCGCGTGCGTGTGCGCGGCGCGCGCGTGCGCGTGCGCGTGTGTGTGTGTGTGTGTGTGTGTGTGTGTGTGTGTGTGTGTGTGTGTGTGTGTGTGTGTGTGTGTGTGTGTGTGTGTGTGTGTGTGTGTGTGTGTGTGTGTGTGTGTGTGTGTGTGTGTGTGTGTGTGTGTGTGTGTGTGTGTGTGTGTGTGTGTGTGTGTGTGTGTGTGTGTTTGTGCGTGTAATCACAGCAAGTCTAGATAGGTTTGTCACATAGTTTTGCTGCTCTTGACGAAATACAATTGGTTTCCACCGCTGCAAACCAGATTCATTCCTGCAGGTCAACTGTGTCATGCATTGTTCAGTTCGTCAATGTTTTGCCATTTCGTCCACCACGGTTGATGCCCCAACGTTCGGGGAGGTTCCTTCCTGGCCCTGCGCAAGGATTCTTGCTCGCCGACATGCGAGCGTTGGTTTGTAATATGACCCAAGCACGGGACATGGGGCCGCCGGATTCTCTAACAGTCCTGTGGATGGAAGAAAAGCACTTGGAAACCATGGGGAACGATTGTTGTTTTTTGTTTACCGGGGAATCATCATTCCAGGGGTTCTTAGATGGTGCGGGATTTCGTCCATCCAGGAGCGGGGTCGCAACTGAGAATTGGTTCTGCGCCAGCTGTCAGCGATATGAACACACAGTGAGTTAGTACCTGGAAAAGGGTATCATTTTGGACAATATTGGGATGACAGCCGATGAATAGTTCCATGGCCTAGGGTCCTTGTTGGGAGGCCAACCTGGGAATTGGGATGGTGTGATGCTCTTAAATCAAGACAAGTTGAACTACGCCAGATGGGGTCAATCCTTTGTCCCTTCGTTGTTCGGTTGTTGAAGGGTGTTGAGCATTTTCCGGCTGTTTAGGCTAGTTTGGATCCCACAATTCTTTCTACTACGTCGTCTGGAATTTACTGTGCAAGGGCTAGAGACAAGATAGTAGCCCGGGTTTCAGCCTGCATGGATTTCTCTATAAGCCTGCGATGTCCGGTGGAGAAGGTTGACAACATTCAGACCGAGGCACAAAATCACCCTTTAGTTTGCGAGGTCGGGTGGTGGCAGTGCCGAAAGTCAGCTGGAAGGAGGCTCGGGGTTGCAAAAGGAGCCGTTGAGGCAGACACGTCAATGCACTCACGGCACCCTTTTGCCCCTGTGAATCCACCTTCCACACAAGAACCATCCATTCTTCCCGCGGGTGGGCCCAAAGTCTTAAAAGCTGAGCAAGCTCGACGAACATTATTCGATTCTGATGGTGCCAGTGTTTGCCTTTGCCCCTCAAACTTACGCCAGTTTGCTTAGTCTGTTCTGCTGGAGATAGATTTGTTGTTGCGCAGGCTGGACGTGAGGCCGGCGGAAAACAATACGCTTGAACAAGCCAATCAGACGTCTCTGCTTGCATGTATAATTTCCCACCAAGGAGGCTTAGAGCGCATGGTAGAGGCCTTGAATGGTTTTGTTTCCTGGACTCTTCGCCAAACCTTGAGCAAGAAACTGAAGACTGCGCCTGGCTATGTGTTTGGACTTTGCACCAGAAGGGCCAAAGCCCATTGAGCCCTAAAGCGGCTCACCCCCCCTCAGCACCCCCACACCCCCCCGCAACCCTCCGAAATGTGTGCCGACCCGTCAGCCGGTGGACTCCAGCCTCTTGAGCTTGGGCTCCCTCTACTTCTCCTTCAGCTCCATGCGGGGCCCGGAGGGCCAGAAGGCCAGTGGCTCAGGCATGGACCAAGGGCAACTTTCAAGTGCAACCTGTGAACCATGTTGCACGGTCTGAGGTTAATGTACAGTTTTGCTGATTGAGTTTGTCTTGCATTTCCTAAGCAGAGATGATTCACCCATCGAGCCTTGAGCGTCTAGGCAAGAACTGCCGGGGGCAAAAGACTCGGTTGGCCTTGCTCAACCGAAATGCACACATCGTGGGTTAACAGAAGCAGGAGGAGCCTTAGAAGAGGGTTTTCTGCTTGAAGCTTGATTGCCCAGCGTTCCCTGTTGATTCATAATTTGTATCATTTTCGCCTGTTGTTAAAGGGAGTCTGCCAGTCTGCCACTGTTTCTTTTTTCCTGAGGGACTCAGGCCAATGGAAGATGTTTGTAGGAGGCGCGACTTTTGTGTCAGTTGCCGGCTTTGTGCTCGGTCACCGATGTCCGCAGCTGTCGCCAGCCGGTGAAGGCACCCGAAAGGATCCCCAGATTTCGCTGCGGCATGGTCGTTGGAATCGGGGAGAGGCTCCGAGAAGCAGAGGGTATCGCGGCCGCCTTCCTGGTCTCTATCACGTACACCGTGCCTGGAGTGACATGAGAGAGAGACGTCGTATTTTTCCCCACCGGACAGGTTTCGGGGTGTTGGATTTTAAGGTACATCCAACAGCCTTGACAGAGCTTGTGCCAGACAGCTGTGACAGTGAGAAGCCTGAGGCTCCCGCCAGTGGGCCAGGACAGCTGTGACAGTCCGAAGCCTCAAGCCCGCCGTGGCCATGAGCGTCGCCACCGCGGACTTGATCTTGTCCACCGTGTCGTTGAACTAGTGTCGCCAAGCGCCACAAAACCCAGCCAGGATGAGGAAGATTGAGCGCGTAGACTTTCCATATTCGCGTGATGGGCGAGGTTGAACAGAGGGACGTGGGGCAGTGTCAGCGTGAAGAAACAACTTAAAGGTCAACTGCAAATGTCCTTTTCATGGAGGACACTCCTGGCACTTGGGCTCTAACAACTCCTGTGCAGTGAGAAAAGAGGATGCTTTTGTCAATTCAGGTCATCCGCGACAACCAGCTCTCGCGTTCTGGGCGAGTCAGCCACAATTGGGGCCTAACAAGTCACGTCACCTGCTGTCAGCCCATGCAGTTGGATCTTGGGGCCACAGATGATGTGTCCTTGCAAGAGCTCTCAACGTGATTCCGGGACTGCTATTGAATAGGGGTCAAGGCTGCCTTTGGTCCAGTTTTGGTTTGACTGAGCTTGTTCGCCGTCCGCTCGAGGCCCCGAAAACAATCGGAATAACTTCATGGTGCCTGCGTGGCTGCATCCGTTCAGCCAAGCAAATTTCTCAGGCGGGGGATTGTTCGAAGCAAAGTCATTTTGTTGGGGGGGGGGTTGAGGCAGAATCGCGCGCTCACGACAGGCTTGCTCAATTTTTGTGTGTGTGCGTCTGCGTGCGTGTCCACATCTTGGACGATTCTGGGAAGGGATTTGAAAAGGGGCAATGATGCTGCGCGTTTTGGGCCCTTTTTGGGGGTAGGGTGAACTGTTTTTTGCATTTCTTTCTGAACCAAGCCCACAAGATCTGAGTAGAGCGTTGAGAGGGATGCCAGTGGATGAGACGGGCTCGGGCTCGCTTTGGCCCCCAGCTTCGGGGGAGCTTGTTCCACAGGCAGTCGGGCTGATTTTTTTGCAGCCGAGCAAATTTCTCAGGCGGGGATTGGTCAAGACCTTGGGTGTAAAAAATAGGTGTGGTGTGGGTGGGGAGGAGTGAATTCTGCAAAAGTGATCCAAATTGTCAGGCGCGGACAATCGGCTGAAATCCGAACGGAAAACCGGCATTTGCCGAGGCGTTGCTGGCCAGCAACAAACAGCTACAGTCCCTACACTGGCCGTATTTCCTCATCACCGGCAACTCCGCGTTGCTGGTGGGGCTTTGCAATGTGACGCGCCTGTGGTGCCACGGGCTTTTGCGCCTGAAGCCTTCTGATGTGAAGTGGGCCGCTTGTCTTACAGCCTGAGTTCCTTACCCCTTATTGGGATTGCCCCCAAGTTCCTCACCTGGCACGGGGACATGACTCAGCTCAGCGATCCGCTGATTCCAATATTCTGGTCTCCATGATAGTTAAGGGTTGACACATGCACCAGAACTTCATCTAGCTTAAGGTTCCGCGGGGGGTCCTCCAGGCTTGGTGGTTCCTGTATGTTGTTTTCATTCTTTTGCCAATTTGAGAGCAGCATTGAGGTGATGGCTCGCGGGGGCCTGGGTAGCACGAGCAACTGTCTGGGCGTCTTCGCAGTACTAGCCGGGGCTCACGTCGGGTCCTGCGCTGCCTTGCGCTCGGTGAATTCCATCGTGGCCTCCTTAGGAGCCTTCGGGGTGACGGTCTTTCCTCGTTGGCACCAAGTCAGGATTCTTTTCAAGGGAAACAACGGAACTTACTAATTTGTTGGGTTCCAGACTGAAAAACTAGAAGACTGGTGGGGAAAGCATTTTCCATGACTTGGTCCTGCGCGTGCCTCTGTGCACTGCACTCTGCGCTTGCCCTAGGCATCCCTTTATGCACTTCACTCTGTCTACTTCCCCTGCACATGCCTGGTTCTCGTAGAGGGGAAAAGGGAAACCACGGAAACACCTCCAAACCAGGCTCCCAGCCAATGAAAGGGAACAAGCAAAGTGCTTTCGGGTCTGTGTCGCAACGCTTGTGCCTTGTTTTGCGCAGGATGTTTGGTGGAGATTTGGGGAGTAGTATTTGAGCAAAAGGCTAAACTCTCTCGTCATAAAATATGTCTTCGGCGATTTCGCGTTGCTTGTTTTGTATTTTTCCTCAGGAACGATATAGCGAAGCCCCAAAAACGATAACGTCGCATGACGTGCAACTGGCGCTTCGCGCTTCTATTTGGCACTGTGTGAGCCTTTTTTTGCCCCAATTGCCATGACAGCTCCTGTCAATGCTCCTCGGCAATGCATGGTGGGCACATGTGTGCACGAGATGCCCACCCAGATGGATCGCTAACGCACCCGCGCACACGCACACGCACAGGCGCCCGCAGGAACCGGCGCACGCTGCGACCTTCGAGCTGGAGCTGCCAAAGTGTAACTTGCGTACTGCGCTGGTACTGAAAGTTGCGACTTGCGACCTGGAAGTTGCAGCCAGCAAGCAAAGCCGCCAATGCTTGGGAGTCAGAAGCATAGTCTAGTCCGCTGATCACATGACTACCGCAGGGTAGAGAAGGCTCTTGTGCGCTTGCTTGGCTCTAGCTTATAGCAAGTTTGTTTTTTTCGTGACACTACACGCGCCCAGAACGATACCCAAAACGACACCCCATCGATACTCCAAGAACGTCCCGGAGCAGCCAATGTGAGGCCTACCTAGTGCGTTTGCTTTTTCAACCACACGCGCAGCTCCTTCAGCGCACATCCTTCCGCGCACACAAAGGGCCCGCAAGGCCAGGCCGCGGACGCCTTGGCGGGCTTGGGCTTGCTCCTCAGAGATCTGCTGCTGCAGGAGGATGGGAAGGCCTGACTTGCCCGAGCAGATCTGTGATCCGGAAGGCTTTGGAGAAGAGCCCGAGCTCCAAGAGTGCTGCCGCAGAAATTGCTCACTGCAGGGGGTTCGCCGGGCACTTTCCAAATCCGCACGGCGTCGCAGGGAGGGCGCTTTGACACGCGCAATCCTCGCAGAGGGTTCATTGGGCGCTTTGCGCGCTCGCGAGACCCGAGCAGAGGGGAATTCGGGCACTGCACCCACGCGCGAAACGCGGAGAACCATAGGGGACTCGTTTAAAGTAGAATGAGTACAGCCCACACAGCAAATATTGACGCTGGCTCATGAGTCACGGTCAAAATATGCGTCGATCACTTTATCAAGGCGGGGTTGGTCTTTGGGTTCCGGAACTGCACGCCTTGTTTTTGACTGGACACTCAAGATGCGCCTATTGGGTGCTTTTGACCAAAGCTACACTCCCCGGCTTGTTACTCAAAACTGCGTTCCCCGGCTTGCTATTTGGAGGTTGCTGGAAGGGCCAAACCATACCCAAAAGAAATTTTGGAGCGTCGAAAACAGCTTTTCGGATCATTCGTGGGTGTGAACTGCATTCTGGGCCACCGATTGCTCTCCTTCCTACTGCTCATGCTTCTTGCTTGCACCCGCAGGCGCCACAGTCGGCATGCCAAACCATACCCAAAAGTAATTTTGGAGCGTCGAAAACACCTTTTCAGATCACTCGGGGAGTGTGAACGCCACCGATTGCTCTCCTTCCTACTGCTCATGCTTCTTGCTTGCACCCGCAGGCGCCACAGTCGGCACGCCAAACCATATCCAAAAGTAATTTTGGAGCGTCGAAGACACCTTTTCGGATCACTCGGAGAGTGTGAACTGCATTCTGGGCCACCGATTGCACCCGCAGGCGCCACAGTCGGCACGCCAAACCATACCCAAAAGTTAATTTTAGAGCGTCGAAAACATCTTTTCGGATCATTCGGGGGGTGTGAACTGCATTCTGGGCCACCGATTGCTCTCCTTCCTACTGCTCATGCTTCTTGCTTGCACCCGCAGGCGCCACAGTCGGCACGCCAAACCATACCCAAAAGTAATTTTGGAGCGTCGAAAACACCTTTTCGGATCATTCGGGGAGTGTGAACTGCATTTTTGGCCACCGAAGTACTGCTTGCTCAAAACGATACCCAAAACGACACCGAAACCACACCCCTCGTGCTCGCATGGTGCTGCTGTGCTTCAAGTTGTTTATAAGTCTCGCTTGCAACTACCAAGTCACCGGACAGCAGTCCGGGCTGCGAGGCGCACGCACGCAACGTGTAGCTGGTTTTGGCACATGCCCTGGACTGAGAGAATATGGGCAAAACTTTCTGGTTTTGGAGGGCTGCCTGAACGATACTCTGAACGATACTTCAACGACACCCGGAAAGCACAAAAGGCGGGCCACCGCTTACCCATCAATCATGGGCCCTGCTCCACCTCCCATGCTTGTGGGCGGTCTGGAACCAGC